AAGAAGGGGAGAATGGTCTAGGAACAGCTGTCAGGGGAAGAAGAAACCAGCCTGTGCTTCTTGCAGGTGGGCAAGACCAACACCATGCCCAGCTCCACAGTTCCATCCTAATCCAGCCTCTCTTGCTTTCTGAGAAAGAACCATGGCAAGCTCAACATGTGCTGTACATACAATAGTTGTGCTTTAGTCAGCTGGCATTACTTTAAATAAGCTCTTAGAACAATATAGGCAGATTGAATAGAGTGTCTGTCAGTGAACTGCAAGAGGACTATTTAGAAATGCAGTAATACAATGGTTGCTACTGATTGGAGTCTTGCTCACAGTGAATTAATTCCAATATATTTGCCTCTTCTGATTCTACAGTGTTTGCTCTAATTGCATCATTGCCTTGGAGGGACAGTAGCTCTTCATCAGCTTGTTCAAATTGTGTCTGGAGACAATGTGACAAAATGTTGTCTCCCTTACAGTGAAAGAAGCCAACTAGATAAAACACCAGTTCCTTAATGTGGTTGCTCATTAACCATGAAGAGAACGATTTTAGCTGTATTGCTACAATGGTTGACTCCTCCATGCCCTTGTCTCTCCAGTCATATTAAGTGGGCTTCAAGACAAGGGAGTGAGTGATGAATATTTATGCTGTTTATTACTTTGAAACAGCACTAACCATGAGCAGATCAGCAAGAGACAGACTGACAGAGTGTGCATGTCTAACTGCTGTGAAAAATTAAGAACATGCACCATTGCTAAATAAGCTCATTCTTTTTCACTGCTGCAGACATGGATGTCTGGTTTTGAGGGAAGACTCATGGGGAAAGAGAGAAGTTGAATTGGATTTAATTAATTTTGTTTCTTAAGCTGACATCACTACTGAGGAAGTGTAAGAGGGTTTGCAGTGTATGTAGGCCTTCTTTAGAGACACTTGGTTGACAGCTCTTCCCACAAGTGGAGAGGGGAATGTGAGGTCATATTTTATTTCTATGCCATGTGAGGTTACATTTTTATGAGATGTCCATGTGCTTGAAGAGCCTGTGCAGCTGATGACAGCATAGTAATTGCAGTGTTGGCAGCAGCCCAGAAGGAAGAAACAATACACACATCCTACCATGCCCACCCCTCTCCCCATCCTGCACACACCTCCTTTCCCCAGTTTTAACAGCCTCCTGAAAATCTGTCTGTATCATCCCGTGGATGCGACAGTGATTTTTGGAGATGTACCTGAGTATTTTGTCTGATAGATGCATCACAGCTACACCATATGCATTGTTAGCAATTTCCAGCTTCACAGTGTAGTCATAGATCACACAGCACTTTCTTTAGCATCTAATAGGCAAGGTAAGGCCAGTGGCATACACTCTTGAAAAGCAAAGAAAGTGATTAGAACACTACAGCTCATTTTTGTTTTCTAGATCTATAGCACCCCTTGTGCTTCAGGTGAGTTGGTTTTAGACAAGTGGAATTGGTTTTCCATAAAGGATGGAAAAACTGCTGATGGATTTCGATAAACCTCTGCCTGCACTGGAATTAAAGCAGTAACTGTGTTACTGCTGTGGCTTTCTTTATGGTTTTGCTGGTTCTTTGCATCACATATTTCCTCAGAATACAGTTAATTAATACACGAAATTCCCCTAGTGCCCAAGCTATCCTGATTGTAACTGGCATGAACACAGAATTGAGACATTGAGACTGGGGACTGTGAAAGATGTGATTAATTCTGGGTCTACTCCAGTGGGTATATTCTAGTGGACCATTTCCTGGACTATAATTTCCATATAAAGACAATGAAAAATAAGAGGAATACTCAGTATAGAAAAGTAGTAAATTTTCTAAGCAGTCTTAACTGACTAAAGTTACCAGGACCCAGACCCAGGAACTTGATTCTATTCACAGTGTTTAGAAATCCTGCTCTCCCTCATTTACCAGGGAAGAACATTGCTGAGTAGCCTCATTGGGATTTATGTGCCATTTTTAGGCAGGGAAGGCATAGCAAATCTTACCCACAAACAGTAAGCAAATTAAACAAGATGATGTGTTCAAACTTCCTAATTCCAGTGTTTAGATACCTACAGTTTCAGTCTAGCAGACAGAATTCCATCAGTGACTGCTGTTTGAAGTAACTTTTCCTTAAAGGTTTCTCTGCTGTCACTCAGAGTTGCCTCTCCCCTTACCTCCTGTTCCCTCACCTGCCTTTGTAGTCTCCCTTTCCTCTTTTTTTAAATCTCAGTTGTTGGGCGAGGACCTGTCACACAAAATGTTGGCCACACACACAAATCTTTATTGCATTTTGGCAATTTTTTTCTACTGCGAAGGAAGGTTGTGCATTAATCCTTAGAAGAAATATTAAAAGACTAATGGTTGTTGCAAAGCATTGATAATTCCTGGACCCCTCATGTTCCTGTCACCTGCACTAGGGAGAGTAGAGACCCCATGCAGTATGGAATCATTTCTATCACAGGACACCCTTCCTTTATTATTGCTGTCACTGTTCAGGGCCAATCTATATGAAGCTGCATCAGAGCTACTCAGGTGTGTCTGAAGAAAATCTGTCTTTGGTAGATCTGTACATAATTCTTTGACATGTTATCTTGGAAACCACAAGGGAGTCTTATTGATTTTTGGTGGAAATTTGCACAGAGGGAACTGAAGGCAGAAGTTGCAAAGGATAATCAAATAAAACAGAATGGTGTAGTTGTTGCATTGGGTAACTTAATTTCCTGTGGTTTATGGGTTTGCCATAGGCATGCTCTTTGTAGTAAGCCCAAATTATGACATTTGATTGTTAATACAAAAATGGATGAGTTAATATTCCTAAAGCATCTTAAATATGTGTACTTAATAAATACTATGTTTTGTTACTAGTTTGTATTAAAAACTTGGCAGCTGTTACCAAAATTAGTCTACAACTTTAAGACTTTCAGTTCTGGTTATGTATTTATTTTATACATATCAGCAAAAAAATGTTTTCTTCTTTTATTAATTTGGGTAAGACTATTTTTCTTCATGGCAACTAGATACATGAAGTTAAACTCAGAATGAACTTGGTTGCTTAACTCCCCTTGCATCATAGCTTGCAGCTGTAACCATGGCAGTAATTTCTAGTGAGAATGCTTAGTGTAGCAGTACTAGCCTGCAGTAATAATTCTCCATAGTAGAACAGCTACGGGTGTGTGAGGTGTATCACCTGGCCTTTTTTATTATTTTATTATTCCCAATTAGCATGAAGCTTTAACTACTTCTAATCCAACACAGGCTTTCTTAAGCTGGTGTAAAGTACTGGATGTTGGCTTCATTGTGGTCACCACCGTTACATTCAAGTTGCAAAGCCACCAAAATAAATTTATACTAGTTGGGGTGCAGTAGATCAGAGTCTTCCAGCCCTTCCAGGTGGGTCCTGGTTTGGGCATCCTTCATAAGGAGGCCAAATGCCCTCTTGACTGATGGCAGTGTCTCAGTTTTTAAATGGTTGCTTTGCAATTTCAAATCAGCATCCCTTTCTAAGCACTGAGCCAGAGGCAGATCAGTATGACTCAACCGAATTTGCACTGCTGTATAAAGCATGTGCTGACACAATAGTTTTATGACCTTCTCCACAAATGGATGCTGTGTTTTAGGTGGATGTGTTATTTAAGGATGGGTATGGCTCAGTTAATGTATGCATTAACAGGGATATTCAAATATACCTTTTTCTACTGGTTCTTTTTCATTACACGGGAAAATGAGCTTTTGTTGCTTTGTTTGCTGTACTTGATAAAGCCATGTATGCCTCTTGCCCTTCCATTTAGAGGGGAAAAAAATGTAGAGCCTTCAGACTGGCTAATGAAATAGAGGGACAAACATGCTCATTAGCTGGAGTGGTGGTTGGCTCCTGAACCAACTCTTCCACTGTAAGGAAGCATTTGATGCTCTTAGGAGACTTGCTTATTTCAGTGGACAATGGTTCTGTTTATTGAGTTTGTGCAAATGCATTTGATTTAGTCAATTTAGCCTCTGCATTTAAGCAAATTACAAGTTAGGACTCAATCAGCAAGAGGTAAATTAGTTTGAACGCATATAAAAGGATCTTGCTGAGGGTAAATTTACAGTCAAACCATTACATGGAAATCATAATGTGCAGTACATGTCAGGTTTGATAAATGAAGCAGGACTGTAAAATTGCCCTTATCTTGAAGTGTTGCATTTAGCCAGCTACAGAGCTGAAGTGCTGTTATGTCTGCTGTCTTGAACTGGCTCAGGAGAGAGAAATCTCTCCAAAGCTGGAATTACTAAATTGAAAAAAGACAAGAAGGATTCTTGCAAGTGTATAAGCTACCCAGCTCTTCTTTCTCTGCTCCCTAGTCTCCTCCTCAGCTGAGACACTTGCCAAGTATATGCACAGAGGGCTGATGCCTGTTAGGGAAAGGCATTATCAGAGGAGAAACCTTGTGCTCAAACACAAATGGGGAATTACTGCCTAGGCCATTGCTCTGTAAATATGAGAGGGTAAATTAGGTGCCCTCTTCAAGCCCTTTCTACTGTGTGGTGGAGGTTTTTCATTGTTTGGGGCTTTCTTTGCTGCAAGACTCTTTCCTCTAGAGCTAGGCTATATGCATCTCTTTCAAGAGAATCCCCCATGGTAGAGGAAAAGAATTATTTTGCTTTCTTGATTGCCTCAAATCAGCCACATAAAAAGTGGTAGAAAAAGTCAGGTAGCCAGAGAGTTTTTTGTTTTGAAATTAAGAATTTTGTACATTTTGAAAATATATTATCTCTGTGAAGAAAGAAACCGATTGATGTTCCTAAAGTGACTAATTATGTGATCATTAGTGCAAAATACTATCAGTCAGAACTGTCACTTCTTATATACCACAAAGCAGGATATTGCAAAGATGTCACACCACAAAGTGAAAGAAGAAATAGTTTATTAAAAAACACCATGGAAAAGAGAGAGGCCATTTAAACAATACTTTTTTTAATTTAAAAAATGTTTGGTGGGGGAAACAGAAAATGGTCCATGAACTAGGCAGCTAAATGGTAAACTTAATTCTCCATCTGTTCTAGTACTCTTAACAGTTCCTAAGCAGCAGCAGCATCCAATGTCTTTTATGGAATCACATTTTAGAGACTTTACAACCCAACATGCCACTGCCAGCTGGTGTTTGAAAGCACACTGCTGCTGCAGTTCAGTATACAAAACTACTTGGAGGCTTATAATAGCAGATGCCTTGCGGATAATGTATACAAAGGTGTACTTGTGCACTGCAGCCATACTTACCTCAGTCTTGTACTGAATGTCTTAGCATCTTGCAAACTTAGCCTTAGAGCTATGGTATGGATGAACTTTGAGCTTACTGTACATCTTGCCTTACCAGGTTTAAAGTGGGTATGTTGGATTTTGATCAGTGATGACTGCTTAATCCTTTGTTACTGTAACTGGAAAGCGGCATTGCTGTCTTCAGTTTGTATTTTTCAAGCATAATGTCTGGATATATGTTTTTTCCTTCCGTTTTCCATTTGTAGAATCGACAATAAGCAACTTGGAGAAGAGAAGACTGCGTGGAGACCTCATAGCAACTTTTCAATATCTGAAGGGGCCTACAAGACAGCTGGAGAGGGATTCTTTGTTAGGAACTGCAATGGTAGGACAAGGGGTAATGGGTTCAAACTGAAGGAGGGAAAGCCTAGGTTGGATGTGAAAAAAAGGTTTTTTGCCATAAGGGTGGTGAGACACTGGAACAGGCTGCCCAGGGACATGGTGGCTACCCTGACCCTGGTGGTATTCAAGACCAGGCTGGATGAGGCCTTGAGCAACCTGATCTAGTGAGGAGGTGTCCCTGCCCATGGCAGGGGGGTTGGGACTACATGATGTGTAAGGTCCATTCTAATCCCTAAATTCTATGATTCTATGAACTTAATAGAGTAAGAAACAGTCTTGAATTTTCTGGCCCATAGTAACTTAGAAACTGTTGAGAACCCTCCCTAGACCCATAAATCATTAGCTTCTTGTTGTATAGTTGTAAACTTCAGAAGTGCAGCCAAAAATATACAGACACATTGAGAAGAATTTTATATATATATTTTTATATATTCTGTCATTTACATGAGAAAAGCCAGAAACAAACCACAGTGAGCTATTTTGGCCCTGGTGTAGATTTGCAGATGAATTACTTCTGTCTGTA